TTATTGAATCCTTATCAAAAAATGGAATATCATTTATACTTAGCAATATCATTACATGTGTTTCATAGAATGATATTAAGATGGCTCATTTTTTTGCAATAATTATGGTCTCTTTGAATTTACTTTGTACATTAAGTAGACATCATGCAGCTAATCAATCTATAATATTTTCATCTAAAGCACGATTAACTTTAATAAATCTTGTATATATTAAATTAATTGAATTAAATCAATACTCATTTAAATAAGCAAATATTGGTAAAATATTAAATATTTTATCTGGAGATATCAATACTCTAGAATAAGTATTGAGTATGATATTTCCTAGTAGTGTTGTGATAATATCATTATTATTGGCTTCATATATACTATGGGATCGATTTAATGGTTTTATTGGAATTTTGGTTGTAGCTATTATATTTATAGCATATCCAATTTAAATATTTTTATAATCATTTAATTCTTAAACTCTCAAACTTCAAAAACAATATTAGGATAAAAGATTCAAAATAACAAATGAATTAATAGAAGGAATTAGATTAATAAAAATGTATGCTTGGGAATAAGCATTCAAATAAATGATCTTAACAGCTAGAAGAGAAGAATTTATTTGTTTATTAAAAGTTGTTATTAGATCAGGTATAGATAGATTATTTACATTAATATCATAAATTTGGGCAAGTTTGTTATTTTTTATTATTTTATATTATGGAGGTTATAGAAATGAAATGAAGGTAGCAGAAATGATATCAACCCTTTAATTATTATCATTTCTAAAATTAAATTGTGTTTATATGGTTTCTTATGGGATCTAATCTTTTATTTAAATCAAAGTATCTTTTGAAAGAATAGCAAAAACACTTAATTTGTAAAATTTTGAAATGAAATAGTTAGAATAAGAAGTAGAAAATTAAAAGAAAGATTAATGCTAAACAGATGATTGTATTATTCCAATCATATCATTTAGGGATTTTTAAGCCTTTTGGACTCATTCTCTAAAAAAAGATGATAAACCAGTTTTGAAAAATATAAATCTGGATATCTATGAAGGTGAAACATGGGCTATAATTGGTTAAGTTGGTTCTGGAAAATCATCATTCTTACATTCTTTGTTATCAGAAATACCAGCCTATAAAGGAACTCTTCTTTTTAATGGTTAAAATCCCAAAGAAAGTGATTTGACAATTGCTTATGTTGAATAAGAACCTTATATTTTCCCTGATACAATTAGATAAAACATCTTATTTGGAAGACCATACAATAGGTCTCTATATTAAAAAGTTACTTAAGCAACTGAATTAGATGTTGATTTTTCTTTAATGAAATCTTCAGATCATACTGAAATAGGAGAAAGAGGTATAACATTATCAGGTGGGTAGAAGGCAAGAATATCTTTAGCAAGGGCTCTTTATTCATTAGCAGATATATATTTATTTGATGATCCTTTATCTGCTGTTGATGCTCATGTAGCAGAGATTATATTTTAATTAGCAATTAAATAATTTATTTTTAATGAATAACCTCTTCTAAATCCTAAAAAATAAAGACCTATTGTTTTTATAGCTACTCATTAGATTTAGTATGCTGTGAAATGTGATAAAATTGCAATATTAAATGAGGGTGAAATTATTGCTCAAGGAATCTATGATCAAATAAAGGAATCACTTTATATGATTAATAAAGGATTAGCATTATAATTAACTAGTTAAAAGAATGAAAATAAGAATCAAGATGAAATCAGATCATCAGCTAGAAGAAGAACTGGGGCAAGATCAACATATTTGAGAAATCTTACTATTCAAGAATAAAATTTATCATAAGTTGTAGATCTGACTACCTTTGTTAGATATTTTAAATATTGGAAATGCTTTGAATTGATTATTATATTAGGATTAGAGGCAGGATCTGAAATAATAATTATATTCTATTAAAGAATTATCTCATTATTTTAAGAATATTAAACAAAAGATGAAATTAATTATGCATATACATAAATGGGCATTCTCACTATAGCTTTACTTTTTTGTAATTTTATTAAATACATCATGAATATATTGTAAGTTTAGAAAACAACTTAACATATTCATAAATAAATGCTTGAATCAATAAGTATAGCTCCAATATCTTATTTTGATACCAATCCTTCAGGAAGAATTATCAATCGATTTTCTAATGATCTATCCTTATGTGATGCTCAAACCAATCAAGTTTGTTTAGATATTTTAGAATTAATTGGAAACTTTCTATTTGCCTTAGTAACCTTAGCAATTTTATAACCTTTTTTTTTAATAATGATAATAGCCTTATTACTTATTGATATCTATATATATAGTTTCTATAACAAAATTATTAGCTAATTGAAAGAAAATGAATTGATTTAAAGAAGTCCTCTATTTGATTTTATTAAAAAAACATTAGGTGGAGCTGTTTAAGTTAGAGTTTATGGACAAAGGGAATGGTTTATCAAATAATTTTATGATTTGTCAAATTAATGTAATCTAAATTCATTGACTTATTATTATTAAGCTAGATGTTTTGGATTTAATATTGATATGATTGGATTTTTTGCATAAACTGTTGGTCTATTTATTTTTTTGAATTTGAATAATGATGATATTGCTATCTTTTCTTAAGGAGTATTACTACTAGCTACTTATAATGATGGATTGTAATTAGGGTTAAGGTAGATGATTAATTTTGCCACTTAGATGAATTCATATAATAGAATGTTTGAAATTATTGATATCCCTCCAGAAGCACCTCATATTAAATAGGAAGATAAAAAATTTGATAAATTCCCTTAAAATGGGGATATAGTATTTGAAAATGTTTATATGAGATACAGAGCTAATTCTGAATTGATTTTAAAGGGTATTTCTTTTAAAATAAAGAGTGGATAGAAAATTGGTTGTGTTGGAAGAACAGGTGCTGGTAAAAGCTCAATATTATATGCAATATTTAGAATGTCAGAAATAGAGGATGATGAAGATTCTTTTATTTCAATATCAGATGTTGAAATTAAAAATTTAGGATTAAGAAAACTAAGAAGTAGCATTGGAATAATACCATAATGTCCATTCTTATTTACAGGAACTATAAAAAGTAATCTAGATCCTTTTGAAGAAAATAATGATGAAAGTATTTTGAAAGCATTAGAAATTACTGGTCTTATAGAACATATTAAATAATTTCCAAAAGGAATACTAACTGATATCTCAGATGTAAATTCTGTTTTTTCTGTTGGATAAAAATAATTAATATGTTTGACACGTATTCTTTTATCAAAAAAGAAGATTGTTGTTTTAGATGAAGCAACAGCTAATTTGGACTTAAAAACAGATGATTTTATTTAAGAAACATTAAAAAAATAACTAAAAGATTGTACTTTAATAACCATAGCACATAGATTGAATACAATAGCAGATTATGATAAAGTTATGGTCATTTATGATGGAAGAGTTATTGAATACGATAAACCATTTAATCTATTAGCAAAATCACCTAATTCAACTTTTATTGATAGAAATTCAGAATTTTCAAAGCTTGTAAAGAATACTGGAAATTCGAATGCCTAAGCTATCTTTGATATTGCTAAAAAACAATTGAGTATAATAGAACATTGATCTTATTTTGTAAAATTGTTATCATTAATTTTATAATTTTATTATTAACAACAACATAAGTTTGTTAATGCTTTTTTATTATGAATATTAATACTTTATGATTTAATAAGTATAATAGATTATTTCTTTTAATAAATTTAGACTGAAATAGTTTACTTGATAAAGTGTAACAATTAATCTTAAGACTTAAATATTTATAAAAAAAATATAAATCATTTGATTCATAAAAAAATAAGAAACTTCTGTTTAGTAATAAAAAAATAATTTGTTTATTAAGACTACAATTAAAACTAATTAGGGGTAATTTAATAATTTATGTTATAAAATTTGAATAATTGAGTTGAATGATTTTTTAGAAAGAGCAAAAAACTATTAGATGCAAAATAACAAAAATATTAATTTAAGTTATTATTAAAATAATTTTCTATATTCTTTTTAATTATTTTAAAGAACAACAAATAAACTTAAAAAATATTCAATCAATTATTATTTTCCTTACTTCAACAAAAATTTTAATCTTTTAAATCTTTGATCAAATTAAGCACAGCTTTAATTATATCTAGAATAAAAATAGATTAAGATACGAAGTATTTAAAAATAGACTGAACATTATAAAAAGGTTTTCTTGTATCGGAATAAAAACAAAATAATTACCAACTTCTAGATTATCAACTATTGGGAATAAAATATTGAAAAATAAATAATAGGGTATACTATCTATATTTTTTTTAATCTCAAATTTCTAAATATAAAAATCTAATTCATAAATCAATTTATAATTTAATAATTAATTTATAGCTTTGAGAATGATGAAAAACCAATGGCTGGCTTATCAATTTTATTCGATTAAATTTAGATTAGACATAATTAATTTTATGATTATATTATATAAAATAAGAAATAAAAGTTCTGCTAAATACATTTAAAATCTAAATTTCAAGTAATATACATTTATAAAATATCCTAAAATCTGCAAAAAATCAGAATTTAATAATTACAATCTGCAAAGATATATTTGTTAATTCTTAAACTTATCAAAATTAAATTTTTAAATATTTTTGGTTTTTATTGTAGTTTTAATAAGGCAGATCAAAAGAGAAAATATATATATAATTATCATTATAGACTAATCTGAAGTCAAGAAATTACAGCAAAGGCAAAGCAAATTGATTCTAACATTTATTAAGATAATTATATACTCTAATTATTAATTTATATGCATTTGAGAAATAATGAGTATTAATTTTAGTGAAAAATTATAAAGTTGTATCTTCTAATCATAAAATGAGTTCATAAATTTTTAGATTGATTTGATCAAAAACGCTAGTTTAAATTTTTTCGAATCCCAATAATTAAGATTATTATTTATACTTAACGATGAACTGCAAAGTATATAAATAGATGAATCTTGTGTAAAGACAAAAATTATTAAAATAGGATGGAATAGGGAATAAGATAATTACTGAAAAAAGGAATCAGAACTTGTGGAATTAATAAATAGAAATAGCTTAATATGTACCTAATAAAAATCCTAACTAATGTGGAAAAAGATGGAAAAGAATTTACGGACATAGGGTATTATATTTGATTTAGATATTAGAATAGAACCAATTAATCTTGGAAACCAGAAGAAGATTAAAAGCTAATCAAGATTATTTTTACTTAAACAAAATGGAGGAGTCGCCTCAGTACTATTTTGACGGATTCTTAATTATATATAAACATATATAACAATTTTTTATAGTGAATATTTATTTGTAAATTGACTTTTTCCAAAAACTCTTTCCCATAAACTAATTTGAGACTTTTTATAATCTTAAAAAACCACCAAAAGTTTCTAATATAAAATTAATAAATATCGTTATAT